TCTAATCGCTCAGGCCATGCATGTTGCGGGAGTCTGTGCGTGGCTAAAGCTGCTCGATCTTCCCCTGGCGAATATATAGCTATCTATTTACCTGCTCTTCTCCTGATGCCCACTTGACCCCTCCTCCCGGCGTTTTGCTATAAGTTGCTATAAATATTTTTGTGTATGTCTCCAGATGTCCCTGCGCAAGGTGTCCCCGCAGCGTGTGTGCTGGGATGGGGCCTCTGGGTCACAGACAGGGAGGACATCCAGAAAGATCTTCTGCCTCCTTTTTTTTTTTTTATGTGTTTATTTAAATTCTAGTTAGTTAACATCCCGTGGAATCTTCCTGCATCTTTCCCTCATCCTGAGCCCTGCCGAATGCGGAACGCGCCTTCACTTGGGATGTCTCTCATTCAGTTCTCCAATCACATGGGGAGGGACTCCTGTTATTATCTGTGTGTTTTTACAGACCAGGGCCCCAGGGCTCAGAGAGATTAAGTCACTTGCCCAAGGCCACACAGCTAGTAAATAGCAGGGCCAAAGTCAATCCCAGGTCCCATGGTGTGGGACAAAATCCTTGATCTCCAGACGCTTCTGTTGCCCCCCCACCCCCACCCCACGGCATTCTGGCGCGTCTCTGGGACAGCAGAGGCCGCACAGATGCAGGCTTCCTGTGGCTCAGACTGAACTGAGGTCAGTGCCTCCCTAGGGAACATGGCGGAGGCTCACGTGGGCGTGGCTGAGACAGGCTGGTCCCTTACGGCTACTTGTGTTCCCGACGCCAGAGGCCCTCCCACGCCCCACCCCTGCACAGGGAAAGAGCCTCGGCCCCCGCCTCGCTCACATTCTACTTTCTCTTAAGTGGCCACAGGAGATGCCATTTCCCGACACCGAATCTGGCTCCATCCAACCGTCCCTGCAAATGGTCCGTCAGCTCAGCACATCCTCACGCACGAGAGAGATGAATCAGGCAAAGGGAGCGCGTAGGGATTTTTTTTTTTTCCTTCCTGGGGTTAAACATCCCAGTTTGAGATAAAACAAATTCCTTGCTAGAGCCTATCACCTCCAGCTGGGCCATAGGAAGCCCCATTTAATCAGATCATTTAGCACTGAATCATGTTAACAAGGTGGCTGGGCGGCTAATTCTAAACTTGCTGAAGGCCAGTCTCTGGGGAATGAGGAAGCTGCGAGCTGGTGGCGGGTCTGGGGCCCGGGGGGCCCGGGGTGGGCTGGTGGGGGCCCGCCCTCCTTGGGTCATCTGAAGACGTGAGGTCGGAGGGCTGCCCTCAGCCCTTTGGGGTCCACATCGACGGCAAGAAGGAGTCCTCCGCGGGCCTCTGCTGGGGGCTCACGGCGAGCAGAGAGATGAGGGTCAGGCCAGAAAAGGCCGTCAAAGACCTAAGGACCCTCAGAAGCACTGTCCCCTCTCCCGGAGGAAGAGGACACCCGCCTGCCGGCTGGGGACAGCCCAGTGCTATCCAGCTCGACGAGCCTGGCGGTCACCACGCACTGCTCTGCCCCCAGCTCCAATCCCCCTGCTACCAACTCTACCCACACTGCAAACTCAGTGCTCGGCCGCGGACCTGCTTCCCCAGGGTCCTCAGTCCCAGAAGAGAGAGGAAGGAGAAGGAGCATCAGCCTCTCGAGTGGACAACATGACTGCAAACATTGCCAGTTCCTCATTCTTTCTGGCGAGGCCACGGAGAGAACTGCTTAAAATATAAGAGTAATAGCTGGGAAGGGCAATACATTAATTCACTAGCAACCCTTAACACCCTAGTCAGAACTAGCGTCTTGGTAGCCCTGTCACTCGGCTGGGACTCAGCAGGCTGCGGCAGCCAGGGGAGAAGCAGGCTGGTGTCAGCATGGGGCCCCCTTGGGTGGACACCTGTTAAACTACCGAAGACTGCTGTTTTCCAAGGCCCTCAGGCTGGGAACGTGTGGCCAGGACTCTCCCGGAGCTGGGGCCCCTGCTCTGGGCTCCCCGCGGAAAACCGGCTCTGCTCTCCCTGCTCACGCGTTCCCTCTTTCACTTGGTTCTTTCACTGTCCTTGTCTCTTCCCAGCTGTGCTGTGTGCCTGTGAGTCTCAGATGTCTGTTCCCCCGCTCCCCCCCCCCCCCCCCCCCCCCACAGCACAGGGCCGTGCCTCCCTGCCCCGGGCTGCTCCTGATGCTGGCCTGGCCTTCCTCCAGAACCCTCAGCAGCCACCCGTGTGCAGACGNCCGTTTGCAGGCTCCATAAAGATCCCCGATTCCCTCCCTGCCCTTCTGGGGGCGGTGCGGGGAAGGTAAACCCTCCAGGCACTGAGTCGATGATGCCCATGGCTGGACGTTTCTCTCCCCCTTCTCCGGACAGGGTGGTGGGGTTCCGTACAGACATAACCAGAGCCACGCCTTCCAGTTACTCCCTGCTGGTCACCGGGCCCGCGCCTCCCGAGCGTCCTTAGCGTCAGGTGACAGCTGAGTGAACACGTCCTGGGTGCCTGGCGCCGTGCCAAGTGCATCAGCTCATGAGGTTCCTGTAACGGCCGTCTGCGGGGGCGGGGGTTACGATCACCCCATTTTACAGACAAGGTGTCTGAGCCTCCGCCAGTGACCTGGCACCAGCGTGGGGTCCCTCCTTCAGGAAAGCTCCCTGGGGACTCGAGCAGCCTCGGGGGGCTCTGCGAGGTCCCCTCGGCCCTGCTGCCTCAGGCTGGGATGCTGGGGCTCCCCACTACTTTTGTCTCCGCGCGGGCCTCCGGCCTCGCCCTTTCACCAGCGGACAAAGGTGTTGGCTCTTTGTTTACGCTTCCTCTGGTTACGACCCTGCCTTTTCCTTCCACGTGTCCTATGTTTTGCGTTTGCGGCTCCGCAGAAAAGAGAGGAAAGCTCAGAGTCGCATGCAAGCTGCCTGGGTGACGTGCTGGCTGCATCTTGCACGGATTGGTGACTTCCCATCGGCGGCGCGGCCTTGGCCAAAGTGGGAGCATTTATACCGTGACAGTTGACAAGTGCCACAAATGAGGGATTTGCCCGGAGAGCAGGTCAAGCACTTACCGAAACCCACTGGGGATGGGGGTGGGGGCCGTGGAGGTTCTCTCCGGGCTGCTTCGAGGGGGCGCGCCGGCCTTTTCCCTCCGGTCTCCCGCCCCTGCACGGAGCTCGCCCTTCTCCTCCGGGCTGCCGTCCCCTTGATGTGGGGGCCTAACGGCCGACCCGGTCTGCACTGCTTGAACTTGGCTTCAGGCCCTCAACACCCAGCCAACAGCAGAACTTATTTTAAAAAAGAAATACTTGTAAACTGAGCGAGACAAGGTTCCCACCCAGGGCCGCGTCACAGCACCGTTTCTCCGCCCCATGCGTGGGCGACGAGCCGGGTCAGCGTCACCCGGACCAGATGTGGCCGTGCCCAGCTTTCCTGGGTTCCTCGCCCCGGGCCAGCCTTCCTGGAGGTCGGGGGTGCCAGAGTTCCCTGAAGCGTGAGCACGGGGGCTGGAGACCTCAACGCACTCCCGCGGCCTTCGGAGCCCCTCGAGCATGTCAAATACTCGGCAAGTCGGGCCCAGCTGTGTGGAGCAACGCGGCCATTGCTTCATTGACACAGTTGCATTAAAGATTCAGGATATAAATTTGAACAAGGATTAACCACTCCCAGAACAAACAGCCCTCGCCGGCACTCCTCTGGGCACACAAACCCTCTGCCTTATCCGTGTGCAAATATCCCCGCTGGTCTCTCTCCTCTCTCCACCCGCCTCTGCCTGGCAACCTGTCTTCCAGCCAGTCCGAGGCTGGTGGCTGGTGGCCTGCAGGGAAGGTAGCCCGAGTGTTGGAGGGACCATGGGGACCTCGACCCACCTGCTGGGGTAGGTCACGGCTGGGCGAGGCCCTCAGCTTCCCTTCTGTTCCCGAAAGGGGAGAGAGGCACAGGTGGCCCCATACGGCCCTTGACTCAACACCAGCGAGCACTGAAAACTGAGAACAGGTCAGGGAGGAGCCCCAACTGCTCCCAGTGGCCTCCTGGTTTTAGACAGACAAGGCACAGAGGTTCTGGAATCAGCATCCTGGTCTGGGGTCGCCCAGGAACATTCAGATGCATGGGAAAGCCTGGAGGAAGGGCAATCGTGTTGGCTCCATCCATGAAATGCCTGGAGGAGTCCTCTGTGAACAGATGCGCTGCGCATCCTCTCACCCCCGGGGTCCAGGCAGACACGGGCCCTGCCCTAAATGTCCAGCGGCGGGTGGGGCGCTTGCAGGGGAGCAGGGCAGGCTCCAGGCTTTCTGCTTTCAATTTCACGAGCCCCGCTTCTTCCAGGGTAATTTGATTTTGCTTTTCTCTTGCTGCCTTTGATCCTTTGAGGTTGCCAGGCATCGCTACCATTTCATTTGTAGGCTCTGATGACAGGAGGAAATTCTGAAAGCTGTAGCCTGAAGAGACATGCTTCCTGTGGGCTGTTGTCAAGTCATCGCTCATGGTCTCCAGGGGAGTGGAGACCATTGCACGGGACAGAGAGGTTTGGAGGGAGAGGCCCCCAAATGTTCTCTGGGCTACCATGGGTTGGGATGACCTACTCCAATTTCCTAACACTGGGCTGCCAAAGCTAGGAACTAACTTTCTCTCCTGGGAGCTGTCACCCACCTACTCATCCATTATCACTACACCCATCCATCACTCTACCCACCACCCCATCCATCCATCCATCCATCCATTCATTTATCCATCCACCATCCATCCATCCACCTACCCACCCATCCATCTGTCCATCCATCCATCCACCCACCCATCCATCCATTCTCCATCCTTCTATCATCCATCCATCCATCCATCTACCCACTCACCCATCCACCTACCCACCCATCCATCTATCCACCCATCCATCCATCCCACATTTCCTGGGCGTTGGTCATGTGTCAAGGCTGTACTGGGTTGCATGGTGATAATGATGGTAAACAATGGTCCCTGTCGTCACAGAGACTGCACTTACCCCCACAGTTGTGATGCACGGAGCCTGTACACAGCAAGTGGGTGGCTATAGGGGCAAAGAGTCCAGTCCATCCCCCTGATGGCAGGCAGCAAAGAAGAACCTCACATGGCAGATGACATATGTGCTGGGTTTTGAAGTTTGCACTGCTTTTGGCCAGACAGAAGGTGGGAAAGGTATTTCTGGAGGAGAGAATCACATTAGAGAGAAAAGGGCCCATCCCAAGACCAATGTAGACTCAGTGGGAAAGCCAAGGGGCATCCTTCCCATTTCTCAGCACAGCACCGAGAAGACCAGAGGTGGTTTCCTTTTGGTGCAGAGTATGTCCCTGCAGGCAGTGAGCCATGCTGGTCATGGAAGGTGGTCGATATCAGCAGCAGATGGGCAATGGGAAGATGTGCTCCTTCAGAGTGGGTTAGAACAAGCTTCATACGCGATCATTGTCGGTAGAAGTACCCCCTTGTAACTTGAAGTTTTCTGTTCCTTCCAGCCAAATGCCCAAGACAATTTCTCGTGTCCCTAACACTTTGAGGTAGATGTACTTTACCAAGGAGCAAAGAGATGCTGAGAGAAGTGTAGCCACTGATCCCTGTGAACAGGTCTGTCTGTTCACAACTCTTTCCCCAAAGCCGAGCTGTCTGCTCACCCACGAGGACAGAGCCATCGATATACATCGTCGCTTCTCACGGTCTGCCCAAGCATCAGCACACAAATACCAGTGGGCGTCGGAAACCCATAACCCTCCTGAAAACCAAACACTGCAAAGCTCTTATCCATTTCCTGTTTTTGCGGACAGGTTCCCTTTACACAGGTAATTGCTGTGCCAGGCTGGTGTTGATGCTGTATCCATTCCACCTACTCTGATCGTCTGTACTGTTGGGCAAACCTGGGTTATTGTTGTTGCTTTACTTCTCAGAAGCTTCCTCCATCGGCAGCAAATCCATGCCCTGCTCGTTATTTGTGGTGCCTGAGCCCTTGTTCACTTGTGCTTCCCGAGGGGCCTGACAGATCCAATGGCCAAGCCCGAGAGGTAGTGACTGTTTCCATGTGAGCTGGAAGGAGGCTGGCTGATGGTTTACCAGTCGCCCAACCTCACCCCTTCCTCTCTTCTGTGCCTTCCTCCGACCCATGGAAGATGGCATCCTGGTCTTGCCTAGGCTCACCACGGAGGAAACAACGAGCCAGAGTTGAAAACCTATAGACTTTTTTCAAAAAAGTAGAAAAACAGGTCCGGGGGTGCCTGGGTGGCTCAGTTCATTAAGCGCCCGACTCTTGATTTTGGCTCAGGTCATGGTCTCGCCATGTGTGAGTTTGTGAGTTCAAGCTTTGTGTTGGGATCTGCAGTGACAGGGCAGAGCCTGCTTGGGATTCTCTGTCCCTCTCTTTCTGCCCCTCCCCTGCTCACACACTCTCTCTCAACATAAATAAATATTAAAAAAGGAAAAAGAAAAAAACCATGGGGGGTGGGGGAGGTGGCTCCTGGAGATTTCCATGCATGGGAGCTCCCTGGACTGCAGTTTTATTTGCAGCTACCCTGTTACCTTAATTTGTGACCTTGAATCCTCCTCTGGGGTGCAGCCTGCTCACCTATAGAAGGAGAGGATTAGACTAGATCAGGGGTTGGACAAACTTCTTTTGTAAAAAGGCAGGTAATAAAATATCTCAGGCTTTGGCAGCCAGAATATTTTCTGTGGTAACTTCTCTCCGCGGCTGATGTAGTATGAGCAGCCAGAGGCAATCTGGGCATGAGTAGGTGTGGCGTGTTCCAATAAAACTTTATTTACAAAAGCCTATGATGGGCAAGCCTGTCATGGCTGCTTATTTGCGGTGGAAATCAGCTTGTTATCAAATCAGATCTTGCTTGGAACTCCGCTATGTACAATAGAGCGACTCACAGCTTTTCGGATGGGGAGATTGGCGCCCTCTCCCCACCACCCTCCCTCCCGACACCCACCCTGAACTCCTGGAACACGTTTTGAAGAACCTGGGCCTTGATGGTCTCTCAGACACCACCCCCCCAAGCAGTAAATGATTCATTCATTCATTCATTCATCCATTTGCCTGCCCTGTGCCAGACACCCATATTACTCTGGGGTAGATTTTCGATACATTTTGACTATTTTCAACCATACGCATTACTCAAGAAGTTCTGTTTTAAATAAATACGTAGATGTCTTCATCTGTTTGGGCTGCTATTGCGAGTTACCACGGACAGGGTGGCCGTGAGCTATAGAAGTTTGTACCTCATGTTTCTGGAGCCTGGAAGTCCAAGATTAAGGTGCTTTCGGGCTGGGTGTCTGGGGCAGCTCCTTTCCTGGCTCACAGACAACCGTCTTCCGTCTTCCCGCCGGGTCATCACAGGGAGGAGGTGCGGGGAGTCTCTTTTATAAGAGCACAGACCCTATTGACGAAGGCCCCACCCTCGTGACCTCTCACCTCCCCGAGACCCTGCCTCCCGAGACCCTTGCGCGGAGGCTTCGGTTCCCACTAGGACGCGATGTTCAGTCTGCGGCAACAGATGATTCAGTGAAACGGCGTGAACACTGTACGACCTCGGGTTTGCCGTCAGCAGCTTGTACCCAGGACTGGCTCCCTCGTCTACGGGCCCAGAGCAGGTGGAAACGCAGAGTGTCCTGTTCAAAGACGAGGAAGCCGGCCCGGTATCCGTGTGTAAAGATGCTCCCCAAAGTGCTCAAGGGCGAGCCAGGAGGGGATCCAAACGTTCTCCATGCTTTTCCATGAGCTCAAAGCTCCTTACTACTGCATGCGTCATGGGCGTCCTGGCAGAAAAGGACAATGGACGTTATAAAGCCCACGGCGCAGCTATCTCTAGAGCCGGGTGGGGGCGGGTGAGGGGGGCACGCAGTGGGGCATCGCCGCCGGGAGGTGGGCAGAGCCAGGGCCACCTTACCTCGGGGTTTGCCCACGGAGAGGAGCCTCCAGTCCGGGCAGGCCCCCTGACCTTCCCAGGGGGTAACCGGGCTCCCTTCCCTGCTCTAGAAGTACAGACCCCACCCCCACTCCATACACATTTACTGAATGGTTTAAAATTTTTTTAATGTTTTATATATTTCTGAGAGAGAGAGACAGCATGAGCAGAGAAGGGTCAGAGAGAGAGGGAGACACAGAATCTGAGGCAGGATCCGGGCTCTGAGCTGTCAGCACGGAGTGCAACACGAGGCTCAAACCCACGAGCTGTGAGATCATGACCTGAGCCGAAGTCAGACGCTTAACCGACTGAGCCACCCAGGCGCCCCACTGAATGGTTTTAAAGGGAAGTTGGGGCTTGGTGAAGAACATTCCTTGCCTCCGAAGCTCTGGGTCCCAGGAGAAAATGACCATTAGCTCCCCAAGAAAGGTCCCCAGACGCACGATGCTGTATAAATGTAGATCCAACAATTGTTGCCCAAATATGCGAATGGGTCATTGAGGGGAACTAGGGAAGCGTCGGGATAGAGCCCCAACCTTTTAAGGAAAATGTCATGCTTTTCCACAGAGCACCCCAGGGTGCGATAGGGAGAGCCAGAATGTTTGGGATGTTTCTGATCTCCCTCCCCAGGCTCTGGCCAGTCTGTGGCCTCCACCGTTGTCCTTGTCCCCTGCCTGGGGCCCCTGTTCCTCCATCTGGAAGGCTCTCTCCCCTGCTCCTCAGTTGCATAGAATGAGTACCCCCCACCCCGAACGCAGGCCCTGGCCACCCCACTCTCCTGGTGACCCACCTCTCAGCCCAGATTGCCATTTATTGCTGCTGTCACATCACAGATGCTACCCTTCTCTGAGGTTCTGTAGCGTGCTGAACGACCTTCACCTTGAGTCGCGGGGCTTCTGACTTTGCCGGTATTCAACGTGTTATGACGAGCCAAAACCTTCCAATAGGGTGTCACTGTGGTTTGTAGACGTGTCTACAAAAATTAAAAAAAAATTTTTTTTTAATGTTTATTTATTTTTGAGAGAGAGGGGAGGAGACAGAATGTGAGCAGGGGAGGAGCAGAGAGAGAGGGAGACACAGAACCCGAAGCAGGCTCCAGGCTCTGAGCTGTCAGTGCAGAGCCTGATGCGGGGCTTGAACCCACGGACTATGAGATCATGACCCGAGCTGAAGTCGGGTCGGATGCTCAACCGCCGGGCCACCCAGGAGCCCCCAAACTAACCATTTTAAAGTAGACCATTCGGCGACATTTGGCAACATTCATGATGTTGTGCAGCCATCGCTTCCACTGAGTTCCCAAGCATTTCCATCACCCCAGAGGGAGACTGCCACCCCCCTTAGCAGTGGCTCTCCGTCCGCCTCCCCAGCCCCTTCAAACACTCATTGGCTTCCTGTCCCAATGGATTTGCCCGTTCTGACCATTTCATACACATGGAATCAAACGGCATGCAGCCTTGTGTGTCTGGCTTCTTCACTCAGCGCCTTACAACTCTGCCATACCGATGGAAGGGCTGTGACCTCTCGAGGTGCAGTGACCTGTCCTGGCTCCCACAGCTTGTTGTGGGGAAGGAGCAGCCCTGCCCACGAATGAGAGACAATGCAGGTGGAACTGAAGCAGAGAATGTGTCATCTGGAGCTCGAAAGCGAGATCCCGTACTGAAGTAGCCTATGCATCGAGTGTCTGTCAAAGATCTCATTCAAGGAGCATTTTGGGGGTGTCTGTTGAAGGCACAGTGAACCCTCGGCCTGCGGGAGGAGTCGTCCTCTAGTGGAGTTTCCAGGTGGCTTGGTGCCGAGCACAGGCATGGCTCCGAAAGCCCTTTTCCCGCGCGCTGGCAGTAGGGTCCCAGGCAAAGCTTTCCATCTCTGCTCACCTCAACTTCCTCAAGGCTCGAGTGGCTGCACCCTCCAGGCCGGGTTCAGGGGCAGCTGCAAGGATTAAGTGGGGGCAGCGCATGGGAAGTGAGTGAGACACAAATGTCAGCCGTTAGTGTCATTGTATCATCACGTTGTCATCTTCGTAAGGAGGACACTGCTTCCTTTGGGGGCCTCCCATCCATGGGTGGGCAAGTCGTGTCCCTGCTTAGGCCAGCAGCGCAGAGGTGCGGCCCCTCGGCTTGGGAGAGCGAAGTAGAGTGGGCTTCCTGTTTGTGGAGGGTGCAGGCGGGAACGTGGGGAGCGGTGGCGGCCTCCGGCATGTTGGCATTTGTCACCGTGTCCAGGAAGGGTCAGAGGAAGGCCAAGCTGGGCCCATCTGTGTCCCTGTCACCTTGTCTACCCGGTAAACCATCCCCAGCGTCCTGCTTCCCACCATCCCTGTTCCCGGCAGCAAAGATGGCGGCAGCCGCCTTCCTTGGAAGAGACGTGGCTCTGACGCTCAAGGACCGCGTATGGTGACCACCACTGGTTACAAGCGTCTCCGTCTGGGGCCTGCCTGCATGGGGGCGTAAAGCATACAGCAGCCCTACAAGCGGCCCTAACCAGCTGGCACCAGCCCCCGGGAGCTCTCACGGGCTGGGCTCTTCATCTCGGCTGCCCTGAAGGTTCGGGGCCCTGCCTTTCCATCTGGAGGACCTGGAGCAGCCTAAGATGATTTATTTTTAATCAACCACTTCCGGCGTGCTCCCTCGAGTCAAAGGCAAAGGCGGAGAGTGACGCGGGCATGTGATGTATATTCAGCTTTTATTTACCCGGGGAAGCACAGGGAGACGCGGTATCGCATTTATAGGGACACCGCAGCGGCGGCACTGCGGTACTCAGGGCCCCGCGTGAGCTTTGGGCAGAAGGAGCCCACCACGCCCGGGACCGGCCAGGCCTCCAGCCTGAAGACTGGAAAGGGATGAGCCCCCCCGGGAGGAGCCGGGAACCTTCTGCGAGCCCGCGGGCGCGCCCTCCCGCCGCTCCTGGACGCCGGCTCCTGCATCTCCCAGCAGGTGCACACAGCTGGCGTCCCCTGCTGGCCTCCTGCAGAGAGGCTGGCTGCCCCTTCTGGGGGTGGGCCGTGGGTGTTGGGGCCTGCAGTGCCCCCCCCAGGTCTGGCGTCCAGTGGGAGCTGGGAGCACCCCCCCCCCCCCCC